AGAGAGAGAGAGAGAGGAGAGAGAGAGAGAGAGAGAGAGAGAGAGAGAGAGATGAGAGAGGAGAGAGAGAGAGAGAGACTGATAGATAAAGAGAGAGAAGGGGAGTGAGTGAGGGAGGGGAGGAGGAGGAGATGTAGAAGAAGAGAAGGAGGGAAGGGGGGGGGATAGTAGATAAGTTGATACTGCCCATGAGTTCTCATATAAGGATCTCTACATTCTTTTCTTCTACAGCATAAGTCTTCGCCACGCCCTTATCTACAGTCTACTTTTGGCATGTGCCGACGAGAAAGGCAAGGTTAGAGGAGAGAGAGATTAGATAGATAGACATAGACAGAGAGAGAGAGAAGGAGAGAGAGAGAGACAGACAAGGACAGACAGACAGACAGACAGAGAGAAGAGAGAGAGAGAGAGAGAGAGAGAGAGGAGAAGAAAGAGATAGAGAGAGAGAGAGAGAGAGAGAGAGAGAGAGAGAGAGAAGGAGAGAAGAGAGGAGAGAGAGAAGAGAGAGAGAGAGAGAGAGAGAGAGAGGAGAGAGAGGAGAAGAGAGAGAGAGAGAGAGAAGAGGAGAGAGAGGAGAGAGAGAGAGAGAGAGAGAGAGAGAGAGAAGGAGAGAAGAGAGAGAGAGAGAGAAGAGAGAGAGAGAGAGAGAGAGAGAGAGAGAAGAGAGAGAGAGAGAGAGAGAGAGAGAAGAGAAGAGAGGAGAGAGAAGATGAGAGAGAGAGAGAGAGAGAAGAGAAAGAGAAAGAGAAAGAGAAAAAGAGAAGAGAGAGAAAGAGAGAGAAAGAAAGAGAGTGCGTGTGCCTGCGCGTGCCCCTGTTTATCACGTCCTCTTCTCCCAATCCCTTTCAATATCCTCCATCCAAATCGAAAAAAAAAAATGAAACCCCAAAACCGGGGAGATTTCTTGAGCCACAGGAGAACGACAACAAGCCCGGGAATTCCCCTTGGAATAATATCACCCCGGCTCTGACCTCCGGCTTTGATGAAAGGGGGGAGGGATGGGGAGGGGAACTGAACACGGTGGGGGGGGGTAGGAAGAGATGGAAGGGGGGAGGGGGGAGTTGAACGCGTTGGGGGAGGAAGGGGGAGGAAGAGATGAAGGAGAGGAGAGGAGGGGAGGAGGAGGAGAGGAGGAGAGGAGGAGGGACTGAAAGGGGAGAGGGGGGAAGGTACACATGATGGGAGATAAGGGGGGAGGAAGATGGAAGAGGAGGGGGGAAGAGGGGGAGGGTGATCAAAAGTCCCCTAAGCATCCCCGCACAAGGTCGAAGTCATAAGGAAAATTGATATAGTGGCGGTGACGAGGCCAATCACAACAGCGGATGATATCGGTGATGTCGGTGTCAGCCCCGACTGTCGCTGACGATGACAGACGGTAGCCGCGATGGTGACGATGAGAACAAAATTAGTATTACGATGTTGAACAGTAATAATATAATCAATAATAATCAATATTACTATCATCATAAAAAACATTTTCATTATAATCATTATCATCGTCATCATTATAATCAGTATCATCATCATTATAATCAGTATCATAATCACCATCATTATAATCATCATCATCATCATTATAATCAGTGTTAATTTCATCATCATTATAATTAGTATTAATTTCATCATCATTATAATCAGTATTAATTTCACCATCATTATCATCATCATCATTCATCATATAATCAATATCATCATCATCATTATAATCAGTATCATCATCATCATCATCATTATAATCCGTATTATCATCATCATCATTACAATCAGTATCACCATCATCATCCTTATAATCAGTATCATCACCATCATAATTACCACCATCATCACACCATCCCCACCCCCATAACACCAGCTTAAACCCCAATAAACGAAGCCACAAAAAATTGGAACCCTCGACCGCCATCCACAAAGTACCCTCCGCTGCCTCCAAGTGTTCAACAATTCCTCCGATCTCTTCACGTGCCTTTGTTTACCTTCTGTCCCCCGTGCATGCAATCGCTTTATCTCCCATTTCCCTTTTATGCGCTTTGTTTATCTGCCCTCTCTTCGCCCCGTATGTGCAAGCTCCATTGGTATGAGAGCAAATAAGTGCTCCTTGGTGTCTACATGAGAATAGAATCCCACATTAAGACGATGAAGAAAGTGTGCACATGAGTGTCTACATGAGAACAGAATCCCACATTAAGACGATGATGAAGTGTGCACATGAGTGTCTACATGAGAACAGAATCCAACATTAAGACGATGAAGAAAATGTGCACATGAGTGTCTACATGAGAACAGAATCCCACATTTCACATGAGTGTCACATGAGAACAGTGATTAAGACGATGATGAATGTGCACATGAGTGTCTACATGAGAAACAGAATCCCACATCGACCACATGAGTGTCTACATGAGAATAGAATCCCACATAAATAAAGTGTGCACACGATTACAGATTCGGGACAGACACCGAAGCGCACAGACCCGACACGCCCGATCATGACGCAACCCTAAAAACTCTGTCATATAAAAAAATAAATCTTTTTTTGATGAGACAAAGAATGCAAACGCATGCGAGCGAGCGGGCGAGCACGCACGCACGCACGCACGCACACACACATAAACACATGCACACACATACATACACACACACACATACCAACAAACAAATTTCCAACAAAAAAATTCATACATATGTACGC